TTTATATAATGATATATTTTTGAGGAACTACATGAAATCAAGCAAGATTTGTTTTCTCTGCATGTTTTAGTAAGGGACCGTCCTCATATTCAGTCAGATGCAATAAAAGATTGGATCTAGAGACATGAAAAGAATAAATATAAACAAAGAATATGACAATCTTTCGTACGTCCTGGACAAAACTAACATTTGGTATGGAGCAATGTCGACCTTACAACAAAAAAAAACTTAATGAACAATTGATATACCTCGGCAAACGCACGGTTACAAAAGTAGCACCAGCCGAATGCAGCGAGGATTATTTGAGTAAGTAAGTAAGTAAAAGCTTTATTAATGTGTCAATGTATTTAGTTTTCACAACTAATTGGGGACACAAAAATAAAAATTATTTTCAAATAAGAAATAATAATAATAATGTATATACAATTAAAATATGTGGCATGTATAAATTGTATAATAAAACAATAGGTAATAGGTAGGTAATAGTCGGGTGTTGCCGCCTGAAAAAGAATTATATGCACCCGCTCGAAAGCAGTAAAACGGTTAGTTAGGCCGTTAAAGCCAGAAATATGATAATTGACCACAAACGTAAAGGTTTCCAAATGTAATGCAGATGAACCACGCGTGTAATAAGGCCCTCATATGAACTGAAAACCGAAGTTTCTTGAAAGAGCGCCGCCCTCTAATAAAGTCGAAAAATCAAAGAGCGCTCTCTCGAATAAATACAATTTAATCGGAAGAGCACCGCAATTCCTAGCCAGCAACTCTGCAGCCCTTATTGATTGTTTTAATAAAAAACAGCGGAGTCACCTTATCCACTTTAGAATTAGACAAAACTAACCCACATGGGCCTACAAAAAACAAAACAAATTTTTTAAACCAATTTTTCTTGCATTTGCGGACTTTTCGGGGCCCTTCTTGGCTTGGTCTCTTTCTAAGTCTTAAATTTTGTTACATTTGTTATTCTTGCGATTTTTGCGATATTTGTAAGTGATTATTTCAGATAATTTTCTGCTCAATCATTTCTTTTGCGACAATTGCGAAAACAATTTGCTAGTAAATTTTTGCTAACAAGATCGATCCTGGACGCCGTAGGGTTTTTGGGCCGTTTTGGGTTGAAACTGGGTATAGACTTTGCCCATTTTGGTCTGGAATCGGGTATGGTTTTCGAGGGAGCTACGGGAGTGTATGAACGTAATTAATAAAGCAAACCAAGCTTGGTTGCGTAGCGTCCTAAAAGAAAACTAGTAGCCGCTAAGCGGAACGTTGAAACTCGCTCGAAACCCTTTCCATTTGCGTAGAGATTGATGGAGTGTCCGTCTAGTCACACAGTTACATCGGGATGACCAGGTAGACAGCTTAGCAGCCGCTAACTATACTCGATGAAGTCTCTTAACAAGATAATCTGCTATAGTATCACTGACAATGTCATTATAATTTGACAAAATAAGACACTCTGCCAAGTGTTTTCTGTTTTTTTTCATTATACGGGTCAAGGTATTTCAGCTTCTTCAGTACAGACAAGGTTCCGTAACAACTTGAGATCTTGGAGTTTCTCTCTCTTTTCCAGTCGACGTTTTCCTGCACTTCCGCACCAAGTAGGCGGAAAGTTAAAACTCGCTTGAGACTCTTTCCATTTGCGCAGAGATGGATGCAGTGTCCGTCTAGTCCATGAGTTTGTGACACGTGGGGAGTTGAAAGAAGCGGCATTACTTTAGTCTTCTTAGGATGGAGCGCCAGGTTACATCGGAATGACCAGGTAGACAGCCTGCTTCTCCGCCCGACAACCGACAGAAGCTCAGATGGTTTAGAGTGACTATAAATCGTTATATCTTTCGCATATTGATGGCAATTTACTTCGGTTAGGTGTACGTCAGTCAAGTCGTTGACATAAAGGTTGAATACCCCAAGACACATTTATGCGCTCCGACCAGAGATCACCGATTTGGACGTACTGCGTTCGATCAGTCAAATAACTCAGAATCTAATGTAGAGAGGACTTGGAAAACCCTAGCTTACGCAATTTCCACAGAAATGTCTCACACACAACTGTATCAAAAGCTTTAGAAAAGTCTTCCATAATTGCAATGGTGACCTCACCTCTGTTCATTGCCTTGGGGATATCATCTCTTATTGCAAGCAAAGTAGTTGTAGTTGAGTGGCCTTTGCGGTATGCACTTACATTTGGCTGAGGCCGCGCAGTTTCCGTGAGAAAATCCACCATTTGTCGTCAAGACAGTCTTTCATAAACCTTTGATAACACAGGCGAAATGAAAACAGGGCGAAAATAGTCATTTGCCTGGGGTTCGCCCACCTTCGGAATGGGACTAATGCGTGCAACCTTCCAAAGAGTTGGAAAGTCCAGTTTCGAAATGCACGTGTTTAAGATATGCGTTAAAGGCGATGCTAAATGGTCTGAAACTAGCTTGATGAATTTGGTTGGAATTGTATCCGGACCAGTAGAGCAGTCGGACCGCAGCGCTTTGCTCTCCCGAATAACTTCATGATAGGTAACACTCTTCAGACGAAAGGAAGTATCAGGGTCCTGCGCAAGCGCATTAATACGCCTATGCAACTCCTCCTTATCAACTGCCACTGAGGCATCGACACGCTCAGCTGCAGAAGTAAAGTGCTTATTATCCTAATAAACAGTTATTGGTTGCTGGCTAGGGTGAAGTATGCGATGGATCGTCTTCCATACTTCCTTGTGCCGCTTATACGAGAGTGCATTGGTCATAAACCTTCTCTTTGCTTTCCCAATCAGTTTCTTAAGACTGTTACGGGCGTCTTTGAAGATGTCCCACGCAGCCTCACTGTGAGGGGGTATGTGTGCTTCCCCACGATAACGCTTGCATGCCTCCTGCAGCGTTCGAACGTTCGGATCATTCAACCAGAGCGCAGGTGATCTTGTCACGCTCACATGCTTTAAGGGTACATGTCACTCTAAACAGTCCGAAATAAGAGTATTGAACGCGATTACTTGTTCGTTAGGATCCTCTAATTCAAGCATAAACGACTTCAAATGAAGTTGAGTGAAATCGTCCCTGAACTGTTTTTCGTACCTAATAACCTGGTATCTTGGAGTGAAACGGATGACAAGCGCATTGACTGTGCATCACACGTGACAAACAGTTTGCTGGAAAACATTGACAAAGGACTATTAACTGGACTTATATTTTTAGACCTAAGCAAGGCCTTTAACACCTTAGATCATAGCATCATGTTAGATAAGTTAACTTCACCAGGAATGAATCGCTCTGCTGTCCAATGGTTTAGGTCCTACTTAGCTGTGCGCACCCAAAGTGTTTGCACTAATGGGGTCGTGTCTGAGCCCTAGCCTATATCTTTCGGGGTCCCCCAGGGTAGCGTACTTGGCCCTTTATTATTTATCGCCTACATAAATGACTTACCTCTGGCGGTTCAAGGTTGTAGCGTCGAGCTTTATGCTGACGATACACTTGTCTATTTTGCAAGCAAGTCGGTCAGTGAAATTCAAGCTCAGTTAACTAGTGGCCTAACTTACGTCCTAAACTGGCTTCAAGCTAATTTTCTAATACATAATCTTGAAAAAATGAAGATTATGCTTGTTGGTACTCATCAGAGGTGTACTAGAAATCAGTAACACCCGTTAAGAAAGAGTTAACAAGTTTAAATATATTGGGGTCCTAAACAACAACTTATCTTGGAAGGACCATAGATTAGGTATTCTGCGTCGAGCGCGTAAAGTTCTTTCCAAGCCAACTTGTCAAATGCTCTCCAATACTATAGTCTTGCCATTGTTTGATTACTGTTCGCCTGTCTGGGACAGCTGTGGGGTTGGGAGCAAAGCTTATCTAGACAAGCTAAATAGACGCGCCGCATGTTTGAAGGTCGATCTATCGGGGCTGAGGAGTTAAAATCAACACTTGGCTGGCCCAGCCTACAAGCACGCAGAAATTATCTCAAATGCGTCTTAGTTCATAAGTGTCTTAACGGAATAGCGCCTTCGTACTTACTTGCAGAGTTTAGGCACGCGCACCTTTTCCATGGTGATAACACCGGAAGCCGCCTTTATTTGCTGCGCCCTCCCTTCGCAAAAACTACTAATACAAAGGTAGCTTCAGAATAACCAGTGCGAAGTCTATTTAATTAGAATTATAAAATTCTTTTAATTAGCAAATTAACGCTCTTCGTATTCCTTTTTAACAATTCTGACGCTTGGACCTTTCTCAGATTTATCAGTAATTTATTCCAATCTTTAATTTTTCATAAAAGTGGTGTCATACTTCTATTGTTGGTTTTCACATGACGTCACAAAAATTCAAACTAAAAAAATATCGATCCTACCGGGATTTTACTTTCACGATGCTTTCGAGCAGCTGAAAATTAATTTTCAAACAAATTTTCGCTTCAAAAGGGTTCTTGGTTTTGTGATAGAGTACGCTTGAATTTCTAAGCTTTTGCCGGTGAGGCGGCATTTTCATGACAGCTAAGAGAGCGGTCACGTAGGTTAAAAAAATGACTTATTTCAGGAAATTTTGCTATTTAAACAGTTCATGTATTAGAAAAAGTACTAATTTAATGTTTATGAGTTTCTCGACGAATATATTCACGCTTTTGTAGCAAAACTCGGTAACAGATGTTTCTGTTGGTTTCCATCCGCCATGTTGAAGCTCATCCAGGTGAGCACCAGCATGGCGTCTTCCATACAAATCTCTATAAGTCTGGGTTAAACATTTCTTCGGATAGCTCGTATACGAAATATAAATAAATAAATAGTCATTGTATATGTACCTCCTTTCATTTTCCAGATAGATACATGAATCTTGGCACTTTGTACAGAATAAATCGCTACAAATTCAAAGTGCGGCAAATTTGGTTTGAATAAATATAATAATACAAGTAATCAACCAGTTAAATTATTTTTCTTATAGTTCTGTATTTCCTATTATTTTTTGTTTTCTTCTATTTTCTATTTCTTTTCTTTTAGGATTATTATTACTATTGTTTATTATTTATTT